TCAACCACATGTGTTGGTGACAGTGCGAAGATTATGAGGGAATTGTCATTGGTTTTTGTAAAGTTAGAAGGGATTCATGCGTAGACTTCTATAATTAGTGAGGAAACTCCTGGACTCAACTGAGCATATATTTCAACACTGCTTATAGGTATTACAAAGGGCCTGAACTGTTGGTAGACCTACAGAATTATGATTACTCTCTTGATATGTGGAGTCTTGGATGTATGCTTGCTGGGATGACGTTTAGGAGGGAACCGTTCTTTCATGGTGGGTCTATGGGATGGGAAAATGTCTTGTAGTTTTAGGAGATCGTGGAGTTGATGTGAGTGATTGAAGGGAAAATTTGGGAAAAGTTTGGGAAAAATTGAAAAAAAATGGAAAAAATTGGGAATCTTTTGTGAATAATCAACGTTTTCCTAAGCTCTTAAATGTGGATATTTCGAATTTAAGAAAGAGGGGGAAGTAGTCTGATTGATTTTACGCAATTTGAATGATGATGAGCTGTCCTCGGGAGCTCGGACGGTGGCGTGGGAGAATATGTACATGGTCAACTCTGTGTGTTGGTGATAATGTAAAAATTCTGAGAAATTTTCTGTATGTCATCTTGTATGGTTAGTGAGAGAACGGCTGAGGTTAGCTGAGGAAAGCGAACGTATATTCTTCTAACACTAGGCCTTCGTGACGAAGGGGCGTAGCTCTTCGAGTCCGCGTCCATGGACTCAATCAATGAATTTGACATAGGTCCCCGGTTCGATCCCCGGGTAGGACATTTCTCCATCATTGAAGTTTTTCGTGCATATCTCTTCGAGCTGTTCGTATACTCGAGTTTTCCGATTTTTCCCAACACCTCCGCATATAGAGGAGTCGTTTGATCTATCTGATATCCTCCCATGCTTCGTAGTTAAGCCAGAATAATTCTGCACGCATGCACAACGCGAAAGTGCCCGTTGTTGTGGTATATGCTCCGCAACTGTATATATTCTTCATCACTTTGCTGGTATCGAACAACCTCGGGTGGACGGTGATGAATTTTGAGGCGATTTTTGAGGTTGAGAAGTTCTTGATGTGAGGAGGAGTGTTTAGGTCATGACAACTACGATCAGTTGGTGAAGATCGCCCGTGTATTGGGGACAGACGAGCTGTTTGAGTATCTGGACAAGTATGACCTAGGTAGTCTGGTGGTTAAGGATCTTGGTTGTCATTGGAGAGGTCGGGGGTTCTATTCTGGGTGAGTGCATTTTGTCAGATTTGGATCCCAACTTTGACGATATACTCGGGAGGCACCCTCGAAAGCCCTGGCAGAAGTTCATCACAGCGGAGAATCAACATTTGGTAGTTTTGGGGGGGGGCGCGTTTAGGAGGGGGGGGACTACTATTACACTTTTGTTGTTTCTGTCGGTGATGGTTTGAGTAGGGGTCTGACTGTTGTTAGGAAACAGTTACAGAATGTGGATGAAAAGCTATTGAAAAGTATCGTGAAAAGGATATACGATATTGCCGACATTTGCATATCAAATTAACACGCACTGTATATCCGAAATATTAATGAACTTTTCTGAATGAATACTATTGCTAGTTGTTCATCAAATTGTGTATAGGAGGCCGTAGTAATAGAGATTCTACATGGGTTTGAATATACATGTCCAAGACTTGTATATACTAGGTGTGTATGAATGTATTGGGCATGGGTTTGTGTTAGCAACATCGTGCCACGACCTGGATGTGGGAAGTGCTTGCAGTATATCGCATAAGGCCTCGTGGAGAGCCTTTTCGAAAAATCGCTTTTCTAGTATGTGTATGAGTATATCATGCATATATTTGTTACGTGGGAGTTAGTAATTGGTTTTTGTTATTGTGTAAAGTTGTATGTGCCTTGTTGGGTGTATTTTAGGTTGGTTATATGTGTATGGGAGTATCGTGCATATGTTTATAGATATTTCCAATATAGAATTGAATATGTCATTGTTGTTATTATGAAAATTTATATATAATACGCAAGGCTGCTCTGACTCTGGGAGGACAGACAAAAAAAATTGAACACTTGCTTCTCAATAGTTGGGGTACATCGAGAGTGCGTGAGATTGCAAGGAATCTATTTTACGTTCACCCGGTGAACTTCACCGCACTCCCACATTATAATCTGAAATACTCCTATATTAAGAGTAACATATAATGGAGTTTCACCCGTTTCACGTGAAGTGGCGTAAAACTCAGTGAAAAACGCGATATTCGCGGTGATATGCAGTAATCTTGGAATATGTTTTTCACTAGTGTTTTTCATATCACTAGGGTGAAACTCCAATATATGTCTTATATGGTTATATGATCTTCTTAGGTATCCAATGAATCGATCGATTTGTTGGATAAAATGTTACGGTACGACCACGCTTCGCGTATTCTGCCGAAGGAAGCAATGTTGCATCCGTACTTCAAGCCACTTGAGAACTATCACATCGTAAGTATCATAATCGATCACGTGATCGATTTGATATTATGCTATTCTTTCAGCCTGATGAATCGTGAGGAAGGTATTGTTGCTGGACGAATGATGGTTATCATTGCTACGCCCTCGCTTATCAGCTAGCGCACCTAACATATACAGATTCGAGTCCTCTTGGTTGTTTGTTTGTTAATTTGGGCGAGGTGTGGTATGGGAGTTGTTGTTTCTGTTTGAGTACCATGTCTAAATATAGCGGCTCTACTTGTGTAGGTGTTGGGAGAGGAATGGGTTCTTCTACGACTGTAGTTGGCATATATGAATAATACCAGATGAGAATCACGAATAATGAGAAATCAACGATATTGATAATTATCATTGTCCTCGCATGCTGCGATGAGAATAATGGTCGCTTCAAAAATCATCGTGGCGTACGCGAGCTGAAAACTCGGGAGTGAATGTTTGCACTAGGTTTAGTGCGCATACTCCTATTATCTATTATTCGCGCGCGATTGCTGATTTCCCAGAAGTTCCTGAGTTTATATTTTTATCGAATTATGTGGGGCAGTGCATAGCACTTGGTCGTTCTCTTGATATGCTCACGAAAGCGACATATACAGGGGGAATTTCATGTGTTTTAGGAACCGGCAACACTCCTGCGAAAATCGAGGAGTTTTGGTGAACTCATGAGAAGGACCGGAGGTACGCTGATGGTCTCATAATATTCGACATCATCGAAAACTCCTCTTATTCCTATGAGGGGCACAACTCTTGAAATCTGGAAATTTTCGTGTCAGTGTTGGAGGAATGTATGTTCGCTCTCCTCAGCTGAGGTGAGGAGTTTTATCATTACTGATCGAAATTCGGGTAGAAATGTGCAAGAGTTTCGCAAAATTTTTCGGAATTTTCATATCGTCATCAACACATGTAGTTGACCATGTGCATATTTCCCCCTCACACTATTTCCCCTGTAGTTAAGCATTGAGTAGTTTATATCGCCAGCTTTCTTATCAATCGTTGATATTTCTACACGATGAGTCCATGATTTGAATATTAGTGATTTTCTCATTGAGATAACACTACCGTGGATATAGTTGCACAAGGATGCCTTACAAGGCCTGTTCATACTTAGCCGACGAGGAGTATCTTCTTCATAAGCTTAGCTGAGGAAAGCCTTTACCTTAGAGAGACATATTGCAGTTTCACGACTCGTTTTACGTGAAGTGGCGTATTGCTCGGTGGGAAACGCGATATTCGCGGTGATATGCAGTAGTTGTGAAATATGTTTTTCATATCACTAGGGTGGTGAAACTCCATTGTGTGCTATGGGGGGCTGGGACAGCGACAATGACAATGACGATGCAGCAGCAGTAGCATCTTACGTGAATGTGGCTTGGTTACGTTCGGTTTACGCATGGCATTTTTCATCGTCGTAACACATGCGAGTGATCTATCGTTCCCGTATAGTTTCGTGGAATTTTGGTAATAAATATCCAATTCTAACGATGAAATTTATAATTTAATATTTGATTTAAACACTGGTGAAAAATATATTTCACGACTACTGCATAGCGCGAATATCGCGAGTA